TGGTTTTGGTTCCAGGTGTAGTATGTATAGGAGGATGGACATGGGTGTAAGATTGGATCACTCATTGTGCTATTTGGAGAACACTCTGCTGGACTCTAAACTTGGTGAGTGCCAGTGGGTTTGACCACCAAATGAATCCAGTACAGCATGGGGCATAGCTATATTAGCCCAAATGGACTTCCAAATGGCACCTCCATGAATTCCCAAATGGCACTTTGGTTGAGCCTGCCCACTCTATGATAGATCCAGGACTTGATCCTTTCATTGGGCCTATCAGGCATCTGGCATTGGATCATCTGCAGATCCCCTCAAGAGCTGTTCTCCAGGTTTTATGTCAAAGTAGCTAGTCCAACAAATGTCCACTGATTGATATGGACAACCTTAAACACCAAAACTCTTGATCATGCAAACGAACATATCTTACCATGAATTAGCATGAACCTATCTTTGGCCTGGTTGGCCCTTGAATGGGACATGAAAATCACCCACATGAAGCCATCAGGCTTGCAACAAGTAGTCCATGACATGTTCTGTGAAATATAGGTAAACTTTAAGCATCAAAATTCTTGATCATGCAAATGAACACACCTTACCATGAAGTAGCATGACTCTATCTTTGGCTGATTGGCCCTTGCATGGGGCATGAGAACCACCCACATGAAGCCATCAGGCTTGCAACAAGTAGTCAATGACATGCTATGTGAAATCTATGTGCCATGAGGACACTGGCAAGAACACATGCAAGAACACACTAGTACCGCCAGGATGTTTTGAAACCTGCTGGAATGCGCTCTTTTGCTCACTTCATTTGAAGTGGCACAAGGATTCTGAAGTCCTTGTTTTCAAAGTGTGAATGTGCAGTGGTGCAAGCCAAGGAAGAAGTATGCACAAACTTTGCAATCTCATTCTGTCTAACAGTAGCCGAGCATCCAGTCTTGTCCACTTGAAGGACTTCGAGCATGGAAACCAAAGAGTAAGCAATGTTGTCAATGTCCACATGCATCCAGACTTGGCAAACTTGCAGGCTGTTGGTCGAACTGTGAAGGAAACAAAAATCACCTTTGCTGCAAATACCTGCTGGTTGGAGGTGTGCCTGTGAAGAGCTGTGCACAATGGTGTCAGCAGGCAACTCAAAGGCATTTAACACAATGGCTTTCAAAGCCTTGCTTGCAGCACCTTTGTTGACAAGCCTTGCCTTCTCTGAAAAGAGGTTTGGTTCCTTCAGCTTGGCAAGGTCATGGCAAATAAGCTCTGAAAGTACACTTTTTTCAAAGGTCAAAGTGTTGCTGATCGAGGTTGCATATCCTTAACACTTTCTTGAAATAGCCAAGCATCGCTTTACAACCTTATGTTTTCTTTCTTGGACAAAACAGCTGGGAAGTTGACCATGTTTTTGGAGATGAGTGCCAAAGTGAAGACACCAATGAAATTTGGTATGCATATTCCCTTTGAAACCACATGATATGCAAAGAGAAAGGAATGTCGTCACAGCTCTGTCAACCATAGCAGGGGTAATCTTTCCCTTGGGTACCAGCTGGATCAGGTCAATGATGTCTGCAAGTGCAAAGAACACCTGACACTTGTCCTTTGTAGATTGCTCTGCATTTGGGATGACAATCTGCATAAGAAAGTATCCAAAAACACCCAAAAGACCTATAGCTTCAGATGCAGTGCATTTGAAAGTGTTTGCCTTCGCATTTGCAACCTGTCTTTTTTTGGAGAACAAAGATGCCAAGGTGTTGTCATTGACTTTGGCAGGACCCAGGTTCTGAGGCATTGCTCAATGGTGGGGTACACATTGCCAAACATACCATCAAGCTCCACCAGCAACAAATGCATAATTGTTTGGAAAATGCCTGTGACCAAGAAACAATGCATCCAGTCATGTATGAACTGAGAAATTGGGAGAACATCTTGGGACAAGCTCCTGCAGTGGAGTAAACCATGGATGCTGTAGTTGAATCCAACAGCTTGCTGCCACAAAGCAAAGTCTCCTTTGTTAAGAGTTGCCTTTTTCTCTTCAAGTCTTGATATTGTTTCAGCAATGTCTTGGTCAGTGGATTGCTGAATCCTTGTGAGGTCCCATTCATCTGCCACTAGGGTGTTGGATCCATCTTCTTGTAGTAATCCAGACTTTGAAGTAACCAAATTTCTGCAAAATATGCAGAACTTTGTTCCTGCATCACCTTTGAGATTGAATATGTACTTGTGCGCAGATCCATCTTGTAAGAATGCACCCAGTGTATAAAACATTCTAATTGTACACCCTCCCTGATCTTTCAACAAGAACCCTGCTTCTTTGGGATTGCAGGAATCTGGGCGCAGGATGCAATTCAAAATAACTTGTGTCACTTGGGACATCCCAGACTCAAGTTCTCCAACAAAACTTGATCTACAAGCCATGATGCAAAACCATGCCTCTTCTTTGCTGAGGGCAACTGGACCAAATTCCATAAAGGAAATGTATATGCATTGGACTTTTCTGCTAACATCTGCACTTAACACATTTCCTGGTACCACCTCATCACTGTAATATATGATTCTCCAGGGCTTTTGTGCAGTGCATGGGTGTTGGGTCAGTGTCCTGGCCACCAACTCTTGCAGTCCACCACCTTGTTGATATGCAGCATGTAACATTGTGAGAAAGTTCACAAACAATAATGGCTTCTCTGCACCATCCTTGCAAACAACATTGGTAGTACTCAGCATAGGTACATATGCATTGTAACCTTTCACTGTGTGGTCTCTGGCTTCAGCCACATGTTTCCTGGAATGTAGGTCAGGAAGACCATTGAGTTCAATGTCTTGAATCACTTCTGAGAGCGCACTTGCTGTGATCTGAGGGTTGTTTCTCCTCAGGCCTTCCAACCTTCTAAGTTTGGAAGCCCTAGCATCCATGGCATAGAATGCTGAATGTGTAGCCTAAAACATGGTATGCCATGATAAGGTGGTGCATGTAACACTTGAAAATGCCAACACTTCAAAAGACACACATGATGTGAGGCCTTGTGGGCCTATAGCATATGATGATGAATTTGACATGAACACAAACCACAAGCTTGAAGGCTTAGCACATGATTGCATGTGCATGTTGTGAA